TTAAAAGCTTCGCACTATTGCCGGGCATACGGATCACGTACATCCCAGGCTACAGAGCTTCAAAATTCGCTAAAAAACAATCTGACATCAAGACGCCTCAGATTGTCAGTGCGCGTGTGATATTTTTGGGAGCTCGGTGGATTCTCGCGCCGTAGCGAGTAGAGAGGCTTACGATCGCCCGCAGAGTCACCCGCTCAGAGATGAGCCCACGGGCAGCCAACTAAGAGGTATCACCCTAAGTCATCGTGCCAAGGATTATATGGCGTAGAGGGAATTACATCGCGAACGGTGCCTCTCGGGAACCGGACGTCCTCCGAAAATAATACGCGCCAAGCCCCGAACAAACGCGGTTCTGCATCGAGTAAAATTGTACTCGTGAGAACATTATGAAAGACACGAATAAATATAAACCGACCAACTTAAATAAATTTTTCCAGGGGATAGCTTCCTTAGGAAGCGAACAATCTGGAGAAACAAAAGATATGGTCGCAAGCTCGAATGCTCAAGCAAAAACCTAAGATACAGCGGAGCTGCTAGAAGGAAATACAAGAAGCAGCTTGCGTAAGAGCTGAAAAAGACTTTGACTCGGAAGTTGCCTCTCCTAGCGAAGATGAGAGAAGGTGAGAGAAGAAACAGGAAGAGATTCTGGCCCGTCTGGGGCGCAAAAGCGCCTGAAATCGGACTAATTCAAGAACTAATTCTTGAAATAATGCGATTAAAGGCTTGGGCGGCTGCAACCGTAATTTACAGAGCCAGCCCATGCGAGAAAATAAAGGCCTGCATTGCGGTCAAAGGACTAACTGCAACCTTTACGCTACAGTTTAGTTGCGGGGACCTGATCTAGACGAGGATTAACATGAGGAAAGAAGGGATCATGGATGATAAGGTCAACATGCCTTATGACTCCACGGTCCGTTACTACAGAAAAAATTAAAAACCTAGTGGCTGAGGAAAGGCGGCTTGAACTCCTATTATGATGCTAACTCGCACCCTATTTGTTGGGAGAGCACCAATATAAATCCGAAAGGAGAGAACCTGCACTTTATCATGGGCGCAGGATTTATTATCCTAAATAGAAGAACAATCAATTACTACTACCACTACTATTACTACTAAGTACTCTCTGAATTACGAGGCTTGGATTTGATAAGCAATTTGACATAAAGTATAAAATATCTCGTAAACTATTCGTTTTGTGATAATTATACAGGGTGTCCCTTATGGGGAATATGTTGAAACTGAACGATTGGTTCTCCCCTCCATGATTTTAAATAGGTCTTATGGTTAATGGTCATCCGCCTGGGAATTTGCAGTTTTATTTTGGCTGTGGTAGAAGCAAGTTCATGCGCGTCAAAATAAGTAAACTGTTAATGGAAAAAAAGTCTATCTTATTGAGTGCTTTTTTAGAGGAAAAGTGTATAAGCAGTGCTTATAGAGGATTTCATACAAAATACAGAACACATAAAGTTACGAGTGAAACCACACTGAAAAGATTAGAATTTATTATTTATTTAAATTTATACGTTACGTCCACTCGATTTTTGGCATTAAATTTCTGTTAAAATAATTTTTTGTGTTGTTTTTAACAAAATTATCGATAATTTTAGGCACTATGGAACCATCCAAGACCGTAGACATGATTTGCCAGGTCTCTATGTCTACCTATAGAAGAAAATATTTAAGAAATTAAGAATTAATTTGGATTTTATACAAAATCCAAATGCTTCCATTCGGAAAGCTGCCAAAGCCCTTCAAATATCAAAAACAATGTTACAGGATTTTAAAACATTTCCTGAAAATGCATCCGTAAAATAACATCTCATCAATTGCTAATCAAACGCGTGGAATTTTACAAGACGATAAATGGAATGTTCGAAGATGGAAAACTTGATGAAAAATTGATAATTTACACGGATGAGGCACATTTCTGACTAAATGGTTATGTAAATAAGCAAAATTATTGATTTTGGGAGTCGGAAAATCCCAACGTTTCTCTGGTTAAACCTTTACATCCACAAAAAATAAATGGGAAAAATATGAGCTGCGATCTCGGTAAAAGAAATTTATCTGCAATTCTTCGAATCAACGGCACTGGAAAATTACAAGCAGCTTCTCGAACAAAAATTCTTCCTTCATGCAAAAAAAGAGACCTGGTCAGGTTTCATTTCATGCAGGATGGAGCAATCACATCGAACCTAAGAGGTCTTTGAAACAATCCATAAAGTTTATTGATTCGGCAGGCCGAATCTGGAATATCCCAAATTTGTCCAAGGGATCTAGAATGGCCATCGTCACCAGATTTATTCAGATTCATGTGACTTTTTTCTTTAGGAGTACACTAAAGACAATTGTTATGCCAGAAATCCAGAAATAGTAGCAGCTGTTAAAAAAGGTCATCAGCAACATTAGAGATGATATATTAGAAACAATTTTACGAGTTTTTGTAAAAGAATTGAATTTTGTACAGATTCAAATGGTGCGCACTTCGAAAATAATTATCATTAACTTATTTAATTATTAATTATATTCTTCATCAATAAAATAAAGTGATATACAAACATTTTATTTGTATCCATTAAAAACTGCATTTTCCTCTTTTCAACGTAATTTTTGTTTCTTCAATAACTGAATACATTCAAAAATAACAATTTCAACACATTTCCATGGAACATCTTATATCTTGACACTTTATGCATAGAATAATGAGATGAATGAATTGGTAAAGAAAATATATAACTGTTTTTCAGAAAAGATGTTGCAAATCTTTTTTAAGCTGTAACTGTATTTTCTTTGTTCTGCGTATTTTCTCATTGTTCTGCGCATAAAAATATTAAGCTATAGTTGTTAAAAAATGAATAGTTTATGAGATATGTTATACTTTATGTCAAATTGCATATCAAGTCTCATAACTCAGAAAATATTTACTAAAAAATACTTCATTATAGTGTTTTGAAGAGCTCTCGAGGGCAGCTACAAGAATATATAATAAAAAAAGGTCTTCATTTAAAACATTGGTCATGTTGGTCTAGTCTTAAAAAGGTCACTCAAGTCAAGTCCATATTTTCATCACATGTCCTCTTTAATATTTTACAACTTTTGTCTGAAACATTTTTCCATGTAGTCGTTTCCAAGATATAGGGTCTGGGTTAGACTTCAGAAACACCCTGTATATTTATATAGTAATTTACTTTATATAGTAATTATTTATATAGTAATTAAAAGATACACTTCATATAGGAAAAAAAAAATAATAATATAAAATATATATATATATATATATATATATATATATATATATATATATATATATATATATATATATATATATATATATATATATATAATATAATTAATTAATTATTAGTATGTTATTATATATATATATGTATACACACATATTTTTTATAATAATTTTAATCGCTATATGAAGTGTATCTTTTAATTACCATATAAAGTGTATCTTTGAAGATAACTCTTCATAAATCTTCAAATTCATATATCTTTTCAAATATATGAGAAGGTTATTACACCTTGTAATGGAATTGAATAAGTGTATCTTGATGTTTCATCTCATTATCAATCTATATTTTTATCAGATACGGTCAGAACAAGTGAGCATAAATTTTGACTAATCGAAAGCAAATTATTAATTAAAAGCCTATAAAAATGATATAAGTACATAAATTGACATTATAAGATCCATTTTAGATGTAATTTTTTACTATAAATGGATCTTATATTTTATTGAATTTTTATTTAATTTCCATACAATTTTTATTTAAAATCAAAGTGGTAAAATACGCTTTTACCTCCATCAATATCATTTCCGTATTTCCATTAAATCGTGTATATTCGCCACTGTCGCTAGTGATGCATGGTTTTGATAAAATTGTCGTTGCTGTTTGCGCGTGCGACATGCCTAAGCAACTTGTTCATATTCGGCTTTATTGATATTGCTAGCCAGACAGCATGCTAGAAAGATACCAACTAATGGGAAAAAGACTACGCCGATCGCTGTACCAGCTACCAAACCGAAGTTGTTATTCATAAAGTCCAGTACACGATTATAGCATCCCTGAAGAAAAGAATTATAAAGAAGATTGTAGACATCAAAAGAATAAAAATATAAAATTGAAAAGTAGTACAGATTTGATTTTTTATTTCTAATATCAATCTTTTTTCAATCTTCTTTTACCTCTCTTTCAATTTTTATTAGTAATTGTTATTGACATAATTGTCATAATTGTTGAAGAAATAGAACTTCAGAAGTCTTGTTTAATAGTTTGCTACTTTATATTTTCTGTATCTAATATAAATTATTGCATATTTTGCAATAACTCGTGCAATTAAGAAATAGAAGATATATTTCCATACCTCGATATAAATTTGTTCTGTGTCCTGCGAATCACATTTTTTCTCAGGCATTTTGCAGCAAGATAAAGGAACATTCTTTGGCGGATCTAGATTGAGCCAATCAGCATATCCGCGATTGCCGCAGCAATGCAACTGTAATCAATTAATCGAGTTTATCAAATATACAATGCATGTGACTATGAGACCTTGAAAAAATTAAAATATTTCTATTTCTCTTTTATTTCATTTTCCCATATATTAAAGTGTGAGATCTATTATTTGAACTTCAATCAATTCGAACAATTAATGTTCTATTGATAAAACAGTTGGGATAATTGAATAGAAAATTGTAAAAATACTTACATTCGATTGAATAAAATCAATATGACTGCTCTTAGAATTGTCCTGTCCGTAAACTGCCATACTTTCATTTAAATCTTGATCGAATCCCTCGTTTAGGTTCGTACGATAAGCATAAATCGATGCTCCTGCACCAAGTTCCAGTAATGCTACGACGGCTAAAAATGCGCCGTACTGAATGTTCACAGAAAAAAAAAATTAACTTGCGTAATCATAATATGTCATATAGAATTTTTATACTTCTAGAGTTTCCTACTTTTCAAGATACTTATTATACAAAAACGCAATATTATTTACACTAATATTTGTGAGATGCGTTTATATTTTGCTAAACCTAATTTCAGAAGTACTTTAAAAATATTGTAAAAATTATTTTACAAATACTTACAATTACAATATTTAGAAATATTTAATATTTAACTCTTGAGTATTTTAAAAATCTTATGTTAGTTGTAAAAATCTTAAATAATTTTTAAATATCACAAAAATTGCAACTTTTTATTACATATAATTGTAATTTTACGATGTAATATATAATTCATTTTACAAATAGTTGCATGGTATCATTTTTTTCAATTCAAAACTATTTTCTTTTAATGATATAGCAAGTATCAAGTAACTTCATCCTATTATCTCTAAAGTCTATTTTTATTTGCGACTTATAATTCATGATGAAATTCTATTTATAATCTTACATAGTGTGTGTCTGTATATGTACACATATGTATAGATGTATACATATGTGTACATATACATATACATATACATATACATGTGTATACATGTATCTATTTCGATATGTATTCTATCTAATTTTTTGTGCACATCTTCTGTATCATAAAATAATTAAATTTTTTTGCCATTCTCGTTGCGAATATTTCAAAATAAATCGAATGCTTACCAAATACAATAAAGCAGGATGACCTCGCGTTGTGCAACAGCAGGCGAGAACTGCAGCAACCGCTACTACCGCGCCTAAGCTCGCGAGTGCTAGCAGAGCGGCACCGCTACCCTGCATGCTCATGTTCATATAATCCCGCAGCAGGATGCGCATCCATATGCCAATGCATAGCATTAATATTCCAGACGCCTAAATAAATAAGACGCTTAAATATAATAAATATACAACATTAAAACATTAAAATTTATCTTATAACATATTAATCATAAAATAATTGGTCGACTTATTTTTAGAATTGAGACAAAAATATGCTTTTATATATATATATATATACACACACACACACACGCGCGCGCGCGTGGTGTGTGTGTGTGTGTGTGTGTACATTTTATATATTTATATGACACATAAACTATATAATTTTTAAAGATTCCGTATTTTTAAATATCTCTAAATACTTTCAATCTCTAATATCATAATAACATTAATGCTTTTTCGAACATTAGGTTATCTGGATAAACATCATGTTCAAAGTCACATTCATCCATCACCGCGCATTTATTGTCTTGCATTCGTTCCTTAGTTACTTGATCCCATTATAGTTAAAAAGCTTGAAACAGAACATTGTCAATGTGTTATTATTACGTATATCCTTATGGAATAAACAAATTTAATCAATATCTGTTGTTATAATGTAATCAATCAATTGTGCATTAATTGGGTAGGGCCAGGATGTTTAATGAGGGATTCTGCGATTATTATTTAGACAATATGGAGGTTTTAGGAGTTTGGCTTACCCAGAAGATAAAGTTGAAGAGCATTAACAAAGTTTTCATGCAGGTCATCGTAGCTACAGTCTCTAGTCGTTTACTCATATTAAAATGTGTTGTCTTCTTCCTTTTTATTTGCTGCGATAAAATTCTCTCGGAACAGGATATTACGCACTACCAGATCTCACTTCGGTCGCGAACGGAATTCGCGCAATCGATTTGCGAGAGAATTACGAGTACACTTACATGTTGCGTGCGTGGCTCCTGCCCCTCTCTCATCTGGTGCATGCGCGCTACCCTGAGAGACTACTAGAGTGATGGTGGGAACTCCCCTTATCAGAACGATTCTCTTTGTAACGGAGTAAAGAAGTGAATATTGTAATTGTCAGACGAATGTCGTAAAGACATTTTTTTTTCAAATGATATTTCTCAGACGTTTCTTAGATTGAAATATTGAATGCTAATCGTAACAATTTTTTATAAGAATTGCTGCTTATGAACTAGTATCACAAATGGTATATAAACACTGTAAAAGAATCTAGAAAGCTTGTGTAATTTTTTAGTATTCTCTACGCATACCTTGGAGTTTTAAAAAATTGGAAATATGATAATATTATCTATTAAATTATCTATTAAATTTTATATATATATGTACCACCATATATATGTATATGGTGAAATTGATTTGTTTTATTCGAATAACTCCTTTAAAAATATTAAGTTAAAATATTATATGGAGTATATTATATTAAATAATACACAGATAATATAAGTAATATAGTATAATATAAAATAAAAAAAATATAGAGTATAGGATTATAGAAAAAATTCGTTCTTAACTTTTTATTTTTTTCTTTCTTTATTAATATAAGAGTCTTCTTTTTTCTCTCACTTCAAATTTACTTTTTATTCTTGATATTTTTGGAATTAAATGATATTTAACAAGTAAACATTGTAAATAAAAAATTCTATATATTAAATATGTAAATATTAGTTTAATATATTAAAAAGTATTATATATATATATATAATATCATTGTATAATATATAACTATAACGGTAACTATAACGTGTTATTTCCCAATTCTGAAATCAGTTACAAAATATTTTATACTCATAATTATTATTATAATTATATAATGCATGTTATTATCACTATTCAACAAAATTTGTTCAATAAAATGAGACACCATTATATTTGCCGTCATATCTATTTATCGTCATATCTATTTGCGCAAATTCTTTCATCGATGATCAATAACATGCGTTCTTCGCATTAACTCTCTTTTCATATATATATATTTCATATATATATATATAAATATATATATATATATATGTAGTGAAACATAGCATGTTTAAAACAGTATTTTTTAAGTAAATATTGATAAAATTAAATACGACTTATTTTTTTAAATAAAAATGTGATAAATATTATTAGACATAAATAATTTATTATTTACATTTTATAATATTAAATATACATATATTGAGATAGAATGAAAGCTATTACACTTGTGTTAGATACATATCATTTAAGTTAAACACAATTTTATAGATATCATAATAATTTTTAAAAAAAAAAATTAACTATCACTAGCTACTATCACTTGGGTTTTAGAATACGAAGATAAAATGAGAATACAAATATATGAATCATTGATTGATTTACATTTTTTAAAAGCAATTGTACATTTAATTTTAAGGTAATGGGAATATAATTTGGCGCCACTTTTTTGATATCAAATCTTTTATAAAAACAATATACATGTTAGAGTTGAGAGATACTATTTGAATTTAACAAGATTGTGATATCTTATTGTACTTGACACTCTTTTTTTAAAAAAGATAATTTTATAGTGATATCAGATACAAAGATCACAAAGATACTAGCACTTAGATTTTATTTTTAGTTTAATCATAACTAGAATTGAGTTATTGCAATTTTGTAACATAATTTTTTTTAAGAAATTAAAACTAGTACCACATGGGTTAGAATAAAAGACTCTTCAATGAAGATACAGAGATACGTACCACTTAGGTCCTATTTCTTTATTAATTACTTCAAGTATAAGAATAAGCGATATAAGAATGAAGAAATAAATGTAATAAGACAAGAATATGTTCAAAAAACAGAATATAACAGATGATGTTACCCGGTAGGCAGGATTTTAGACTTCTAAGAATTTTTCTTTTTAAATCTATATATATAAATTTAAAATGATTACTTATAACACCAATCACATGCAGTTTTTATTTTCTTACAGACTTGCAACGTAGTAGCTCAAAATCATAATTAAATTTTTCTCTTTTTAATTTTTCTTTTTAATAAATCGATAATCAAATTTTATTATCCTCCAGAAAGAGAAATTCTTATTGCAAAAAACAGTAAAACATTGTATATATGCTGTAAAAGCATCGGGAGACACGATAGTGTCTCGGGTGTCAAGTCAATCGAAACACTACCGTGTGATTTTACGCGAGCCGGCGATTTGCCAGGACCCGAGATTATCGGATCTCATTAATGGCTGAACCGATCAAGTTCTGAACAGGCGTAATCGATTGCTTGGGTTTACATTATATAATAAAAGTGATCTTATTTTTCATCTATGTGCCTTATAAGTAGAGATATTGCAATCCAAAGTTCAAATCTGGAAATTTACATTTAAGAAACGTTGTCATTATTATCGTCATTGCCTTTGTACGGCTACAATTTTCGCCGTGAGAGATGCTGACTTAGTCAACTTAGGCTCGGCTGTGTTCGAAAATTGATTATCAGCGCTGGCAGCACTATGAACACCGTTCCGAAATTGACATTTTATGATAGAGAAATAAAATGTTGACATATAATATTTAATCTTTATTTCTATCAAGAGATATAGATCTTGATTAATTCATGATCAAGATCAATTAACTTATCTATTATACTTGTAATTGTCATAAAATATCTGTAATTGTCATAAAAAATCTGATCTGTAAAATAATATTATATACTACTTTCATTATAATAATACTGTATAATTATTATGATTGCCTATACATTTATTATCAGCATTGATTATAAATATTAGTTAGCTCGAAGATGTTTTATAATTTAAAACCTGAAATAATATTTATTATAATGATAATCTTATAAACTTATGCTTTTATCAATTAAATTATTAATAATGTACATGTTTTATACAATTTCCATTATTTTACATTTCTATACCAAAAATAAATTTTATAAAAAAATTTCTGAATTGAAAAAAAAGCTATCTTATTATTTGTGCAAAAACTTGATATTATCAAAAGTAATATTAAAATCTAAAAATTTTATAAGATTTTATTAATAGAAAATTATTTAACAACAATTTGTAAATATTGATAGAGCTTAATATAATTTTGACATAATATAAAATTTAAAATATTTTTTATTATTTTATTTATTTTATCATTTTCTTTACAAGATGTTAAATTTGTAAAGATATCACACAAATTTAGTTTGTGTACTATATCGACAACTAAAATACTAACAACTGGACAAGCATATATAGTTATAAATACTATTTTTCATCATGAAACTTATATCAAAAAGATTCATTATAGAATTATTAATATGTAGAGAAGGAATATCTAGCATTTGGATTCAAATTGATGATGCACAAGTTATAAAAAATAGCCTAAAGGCGCTAAAAATATTTATATATTATTTTTACAAAAAATTATTACTATACTAGTATATATATATACTGTATATTAAGCCATTATATAAATAGATATATTTAACAAAAATATTTGTTATATAAAAAAATGTCAATTATATTTGTTAAATAAAAGTGTCAAGCATGGGCGCGCTCTTTAAACACAAAAAGATTCTTAACAAATGTATGATATCATTACAAATTACTTACTAAAAAAGGTAAAAAGGTGTACAAGTAAA